TTGCAAGTACTCCATTTACCTCCTAAATTTATCTGAATTTTTCTGAAATTCCTTTGAATTAAACTGAAGCTAAAAAGAACTCTCAGGATTTCCTGAAGTCCACTCCAAATCTGGATGCTGTCACTGCCTGCCTCAAACTCAATTGTAATTACTACAGTTTTGGTTTCACAAGAAGACTGAAGAGAAAAATATTAGGTTATAAAGGTAATTTCTACATTATAGAATTGCAATAAATTATATTCCTCCTCAGTGAGCCATAAAAAAAAGTCTCATGGTTTTTTATTCATGCAGTACCTCCTGGCTCATTAAGATCTCTTGATGGTGATCCCTTTGCTACATGCAATGTATATTTTTTCAGACTTGATGACAATAACTAAAAATGCTCAACGTCTGTGAGATGTTCCTGTTAAAGTTTCTGTGCATTAATAAATATATAAGATCAAGCTCCTTCTGTCCTAGTCTGAATGTGCATCTTTTTTAATGAAAAGGGAAAGCTTAGTTTAAAAGACGTGTGCTCAGCAATTATGAGAGGAGAAGTATATTTAGTGTCAACACAGTGCAGGTTGGGATTTCACACGTTGCTGCTCTGATATGATATTAATGATTGCAGTTACTGGTTAAAGGAGCAAAGCCTTATGAAGTGTTCTCTGTAACTAAAAGAAAGGTCTAAAACAAAATGCATTTTGGCCAATCAGCCAGACTAATACCAGTGGGAGAGAACACCCCTCACTGGGCAATGTCAGAACTTGGGAGAAGCAAATGGAGCTGTCTGGTGCATGCTAATTCAAGAATGTAGAGCTGTCCAAAGCAAACTTCTGTATTGTGTCATTCAGGACTGTTTACAATATTTGTAAACCATGGAACTGTATTTATAAACATAAAGTTGTTTGTAGCCTCCTTGTTAAAACACATTTTGCTTCTTTAACTCATGTTTGCTAAGACACCTTTTATTCTTGAACAGTGGACACCTTCTAATGTTTACCTGTGCTTTTACAGACCAGTGATTGCAGCCCTGCTGCCAGTCAGTCTGCTGAGGTAGAATCATCACCTCTTTTGTTTTCCACTGGCAATACATTTTGTATCTATATATCCAGACATGCCACTTCAGTAGGAAAACACTACCAAGGAAGCAGACATTGACTGCTTCATTCCAGTTTCCACATGACATTTCTTATCACAAAATACCTTTCACATCAATACTGTCTGAGATCAGGCCTGTCTGGCTGCTTTTTCTGACAGATTCTCACAGCTCTGGAATGTCTGTTAATAATAATGATTGAGCTATATGGCATTTCTTGGGAATTAATGGTTGGCTAGAAAGCTCCATTGAATCAGTGCTCAGCAAAGGACTACTTTCTCTAGCAGGTAGTCAGTCCCAGAGAAATACTCAAAGGTTATCAACATCGTTATTATTAAAAAAAATAAATACAGAAGTAAAATTAAATATAGAATTTGGAACATAATAATTGCAATTGCTCTGTACATTCTAACTGTTCTATACTCTTCAGATTTGTCACCACCTCAATGTTCAGGTTAACTCATTAATTTTCTCTCCTAATTTCACGCCTTTTCAAACTCTCTTACTTACATAAAAACACTCCTGCAAGAATCAGTTCTAAGACTATGTACAATTCCACACAGAATTCAATATATAGAGTATGAGTCTATATGCATTTATATAACTGCCATGTGACATGAATACACATTGCTACAGAATTTCCCAGAAAAAAGTGCTTGTTTTCTATCTTAAAGTTGAACAACAAGCATTGCCATTGATTCATATTGTCTTGGTGAAAACAAGTCAAAGAAATTAGAGGAAAAAGATAATAAGAATTCTGTATAAGGTTGGTGCCTAAAAGAATTTCACTTAATTAAATGGATGTGCACTTGAGTAAAGACAACTCTGCAGGTTCTAGTTGAAACATTCACCCTCTCAGTTGTTTCAGAGGCAAAATACATTCCTTATGGGATAAATCTGTAGAAAAGTAGGTAATTATTACTTACCTTAAAGCAATGTCAAAGGGAGAGGTCTTGAAATTCTTGAAGTCTTGAAAGTGATGATGATGGTGCTAAACTGGGAAATCTTTTCATGTTTCTCAGCTTCTTAGACACAACTAAAATAAATGAGACATTTATTGACTGACTTAATGGAGAAAAACTTTATAACATCACGCAAAAAACCCAAGGTTTGTCTCAGTACTGTGTGTAATACACATTTCTATCAACTAGTTTTCTTGTTTCCATTATTATAATTAATGAGTTTATGTTTTGATCAAGCAGGTGTTCTTACAACTACATGCTATGAAGCCATTAAAACACAAAACTGCAGGTCTGGTAAAAAGGGTTTGTGCCCCAGTCTAGAACAACTCCAGTTCATTATTGGAATTTTAAGACATGGTACAGCTAAAAATAACTTCACTGATAATACAACTAGCAGGCTCAGAGAGCTCAACAACTAAAGTAACATATTATTAGGGATAGCATGATTTTTGGGTTCCACAGGTCTGATCCAAAGCCTCTTGGTGCCATAGGAAATATTTTTTTTCCAAGGAGCTTTAATCATCCTCATGTTTTTCCCAAGCATATGTTACTTAGGGTCGAATTCTGATCTCATGGACCTGAATCCCAGAGATGTTAGGTTCTAGCCTAAATCCTTTGGGCTTCTTTTTTATATGGGGATTCTTAAGGAAAGCCCCAGGAACTTAGCGAAACAAGAAACTTGTACCATATTTAGTCAGGATTAATCACCCATAAAATAAATCGGGTTTTGATGTTATTATTTCCACACATGTATAGTACTAATCATGCAAAATATTTAAGCAGCTTTTTAGCCATCAAATCAACAGGGGAACTTGCATAATCTTAAGCGCCTGACAGGACTGGACCTGAAATGTCTCTAGATGCAATAATAAGTATGGAAAAGATTCATTTTTTGCAGTATTTTCAGCACTAACTGCATCACAAAGTGTTAAATAATAAATAATAGCAGAGAGAAGTATACACGAGGGAGGAATGATATGATTTCAGAGGAGACTTGAAAGGGGATGTTGATGAGGTGGAGGTTTTAAGAATTAAATATTAAAAGCCAAAAAGACTGGTTTTGGCTGGGGCTGATTGTTTTTCTCTGCTAAGAAATAAAGGGGCTTTCTAACCTACCTCCTGGACAAAGATGCAAGGCTTACTGTCAAACTGTTCAGTGGAATCATCACTGTACTTAGAGTCTATTTTTAAGAGAAGGCAAAGGATCGCAATTAGCTAACTACAGCCCTCTCCGATTCCAAACGTCTGCTTTGTCCTCTGCCTCACCTTTCTGTTTATTTACCGCCTAACAACTCCACACGGACTTGGCCGAAGTTCCTGAAGAGCGCCAGCGATACAGTGGGAGAGGGAGGGCGGGCTGGCCCTGCAGAGCCCCGGCACACCAGCCCCTTCCCCAGGGCCCACAGCAGCCCGCAAGGCCGCAGCAAGGCAGCCACAGACATGCCCCGAGGAGAAGGGAAGCTGCTTCCAGCACCAGCCCACACTGTTAAATCACGCCATAAGGGGCTTATTTCCTACATTTGGTGGCAGCATAGTATTCAGGATAATATTATTGCTACTTGCACAGGTTACTGCCGAACCGAAAGGCAGAGATGACAGAGTTAAATAACAGGGATGGAGAGTGAATCACTAAAAAGTCTTTCCCAGAGTCAGTTCTCTGTTTGGGGGAAGTTATTCCAATTCCGTGTCTCGCAAACAACCCGCAGCTTCGCTGTGTCCTCCGGAGCCAGCCGACTGACATTATAGAGAGATTTTTAAATAAATGATGTGCAGGGGCAGCTCATGTTTAGCAGACAAAGCCCCGCGCGGCTGCAGGGAGCGCGAGCACCGCCGTACCTGTGCTGGGCGCGCCGGGGCGAGGGCAGCGCCCGCTCCCGCCCGGGCGTAGCGGAGGTGCGGCCCCATGGACGCCGCTCCGCCCGCAGCACCTGCCTTTGCCTCGCAGGTGAGTGGATCTCCGGGGACCGCTCGGGGAGGAGTTACCGGGGGAAGGAGCGCTCTACTCGTCGGGAGAGGGACGCGCCGCTCTCCTCCCGCGGAGCTGCCCCGGGCTCGCCCGAGGAGCCCACCCCGCCCTGCCCGGGCTGCCCTCACCCCCCGAGCGCGGGGCGGGAGGAAGGACGGGACGAGGAGGCGCTCCCGCGCGGTGGGAGACGCACCTGTGGGGAGCGGGAAGTGTCTTATGTAAGGGATGGCGGGGAGCGGGGCCGAGGCGGGGGTCGGCTCTGCGGCGGGGGGAAAGCCCCACAGAGGGCTGGGAGAGAGGGAGGAAGAAGGAAGGAGGGAGAGGGAGCCCGGCAGGAGGACGGGCGGGCGCGCAAGCGGGCTGGGCTCGCCGGGCTGCACCGCGCTCTCCCTCACGGCGCATCTCCCTTTCCTTCCGGCCGGCTGGATGCCGCGGCGAGCCCGTCCAGCCCCTCGCGCCTGCCCCGGCAGCCCGGCCCCGGGCGGGGCTCGGCGGCTCTCTGAGGAGTTGTGCGAGGGGACCGCGCCGGGCTGCGCGGGGAGGCGGGCGGTGGGTGCTCCAGGCAGCGCGGGGAGGCTCCTCGCTCGCCTCTCGCATCCTCCCGCCCCTGCAGCGCCCTCGCCTCACCTCCCGCTGCGGCCCCCCACGCCCCCTTTCTTCGCCAGCCCGGCGCGGTGCCCCGCACGCCGCCGCCACCTCCACCCCTCGGTCCTCCTCCTCCTCCTCCTCTCTACCTTCTCCTCCTCCTCCCGCGCTCCCTCTCACGCGCGCTTCCGCTCCACAAGTGCCGCGCGGTCGCTCCCCGGGAGCGCAGCGGGGACGGGCTGCGGACCCTGCCGGGCGGCGGGACCCTGCCCGGCCCGTCCGGGGCTGTCCGTGGTGCTGGAGGCGAGCGCGGGCTGAGCGGCCGCCCGGCCCCTGACGGAGCCCCTTTATGTCAGCTCCTGGCGCAGCGCAGCATCCAGCAGCTCGAGCGGCGGCGGCGGCGGCAGCAGCATCGCTGAGCCGGGCTGGGAGGCAGAATGGAAGGCTTTATTCGGCTGCTCTTCGGCTACTTGGTGGCGGACCTTCTCACGCTGGTGTGTCGGGCTCAGGAGAAAGCTGGCCAGCAGCTGGGGAGCTTTGTGGTGCTGTCGGGAGGAAACCACTCCAGCCTCGGGGAACAGCTGGACCCCTCCGAGCCACCTCCCACCCCAGACTTCTGCAGGGGCTACTTTGACGTGATGGGGCAGTGGGACCCCCCCTTTAACTGCAGCTCGGGGGAGTTCATCTTCTGCTGTGGCACTTGTGGCTTCAGGTTTTGCTGCAAGTTCAAGAAGACAAGGCTGGATCAAAGCACCTGCACGAACTATGAGACACCATTGTGGATGAACACTGGGAAGCCTCCTTCCCGCATAGACGACCCTCTGCATGACCCTACCAGGGATAAAACCAACCTCATTGTCTACATCATCTGTGGGGTTGTAGCAGTCATGGTGCTGGTGGGGATCTTCACCAAACTAGGGCTGGAGAAGGCACACAGACCCCAGCGGGAGCACATGTCCAGGTAAGGCTGAGTCCCAGGCAGCAGGGTCCCCTTCCCCCCTACCTCCTGCCCAAACCCTAGAGAGGAGAGAGGAGCCCGTGTGTTCCTGGGAGACAAACAGCTCCTGCCAGGCAGCTGCATTCCCCTGCAAGGCGACCAACAGAGACCAACTTTGCTGAGCAGAGCTCCTGTGGTTCCCCCAGCCCAGGTAATCAAAGTATGTGCATTTGAGGAAGACTAGGAATAACTGTGGAATCTGCACAGACAGTAGTGCATTTTTATCTGCAGTGCCTGACCCTCTCCCCAACAGGATCCAGCAAGTGTTCCCGGATATACTGTGCGTGAATAGAAAATCAAAAAAAAATTCTGAAACCAGCAACACTGAATTATAGAAAGGCTGATGGGTTCCCTCTTCCAACTGTTTCAAAGCTTGGAAAATGTTTTTACTTCTCAACAGAAGGATGTAAACAAATGCCATCTCACCCTCCCTCTCCAGCTGCAAAATGTTTTTTGGCAGGACCTTCCCTACTCCCCCAGCCCTTGCAAGTGTGTGAGCTATTTGTAAAATTTCTAAGCTGTGAAAATGAGTCAGGGTGGAAGGGAAGAGGAAGACACAAAAAGGAAAAGCTATTGTAGAATTTCTTACCATTTTTTCAGTTACTGTTGAGAGGTAAAAAATGGAATATGAAAGTCTTGTCTCATCCATGTGTGCGTGTGTTATAACTCTGTATCCACGGTGTAATGGCTGGATTATATCAAAGAGAACCTCCCCCACCTAGAGTTAGACATGCTGTGTACCATCTACTCCAGATCCTGGCTGCCTAGTGGTGGATAAGCAGGTGGGCAACTCGGGACAGAGCCCAATGGCTTTAACAACATATTCCAAACCCAGATTGTCACAGCAGTTCAAAATCAAGGCATAACACATTTGTCAAGTTTGCAGCCTGTCTGATTCTTTATGCTAATCCCAGGCACATGAAAGTAAAGCAGATGGGAGAAAGGCATTAAAAAAGGCAAACAGCTCCATTAAAGAGTCTAAATAGATCCCAGCATATTGGGCAACTTTAGTGATGAAATGCAATGAAAGGATACCTTCTACTGGACGTGCAGTGTGATAGAAAGCTTCCTCTTGCCCTGACTACTCTTGGTGTAGCTCACAATCTTTAAAGCTTAGATGAAGAGTCATCTTTGAAAGACAGTCCAAGAGATCAACTCAACACCTGGAGCCTTATTTTTTTACTGAAGTTTCTGCGTGACTTTTTGATTAACTGCTTGTCTTGAAACGAACAGAGAAAGTCACAGAAATACTCCTGCAAATGCACCACCAGTTCACGAGCTATTAATTGCTATTTATAAACTGGCTGATATAGATACGCTTTTACTACCGAGGGAAAAAGCACACTGCAGAAATTTTAGTCAACACCGTGTGTCAGTGACACTTCTGCAAAGATGTTTTTTGTTGAGCAAGGTATGATAAACCCTTAGACATTTAGAATATTCTCCACAACTAAACTGAGAAAAAGAATACAAAGGTCCCAATTTATTTTTTAAGTACTACTCTTAAACTACAGAGATCTTTTGGCAAAAGCTCTCCCTTGCTTCAGCCTCTCTCTGTAGTGTCTTCGTGCAGACAAAAAAGCAGGGCTTGTAAGAGTCACAAAAACCAGGACAGAGGGAAGTTGTACCCATCCCTGCTTCTTATGGCTTAAATAGGTCCTGTTTCTATGAGTAGAAATATTTGCTACCTAAAGTACAGGTGTGAAATATTCTGAAAGGATATTCTGTTTTAGTTTCTGGAAATAGAATTACGGGGGATTGGAAAATCATTGAAGTCATCCTGATGTCCTTCAGTCATGTACACTGAAGATCAGGTTTCTTGGAGTGGTTCTTAGAAAAGGTCCTCTGTTACCCTGATTATTTAATAGTATCTGAGATCTCGTACTTTTCTTGCCATGAAAATGTTCAAGTCAGGATTATATAGAAACTTGGAAAGTCATGATCACATGGAAAAACAGTCACCCACTCAGCACACATAATAGCTAGTCATGTTCTGAAAAAGCAGTGCTATAGGTTTTTTTTTTTAAAAGTTCTCACACTCCTATTACAGCTGTGTGGTGGGTTTACCATTAATTTGAAAAGGAATGAAGTTCTTAAATCCCTTTGGCAACCTACAAATATAATCATTGAGTGAAGAGTTGAAGTAACCTCTTAGTCCTCAAATGTGTGTTTAACTAAAACATTTAATTCTAGCTCATTTTACACTATTAATGTCCTGGAAAAAAAGCTGCAATGCTTAAGAAATAATTCACCTGTTCAAATATTTAACAGTACCAACAATCAATATAATATGCACCCTATATTCATATTCACCTTCTTTTATAACATTCATCATTGCAATATCAAAAAAAAAAAATCCCAAAAAATAACATATATGGGGTTTTTTTCTGTGCTGAACCTTATTAATAAGCAGAAGTATAATGCATCAAGAGTGTCAGGTAGGCCAAAGTAAAAGTACTAAGTGTTACTCCATTTTGGCTGGCAGCAAGAAACACACAGATGCTGATTTGTCATCTGTTTCCTTAGCTAAGATTGTCTCCTTTCCCTTCCCTAGCCAATGGCAACACGAAACACTTGAATCCTCTTCATTTCTGTGAACAAATTCACCTATCAAAGGGATGGTTCTGCTTATAAAAAAAGACAATGTATAATGGGAACGGATTTTTTGGGGGTGTTGATTTTTTTAAGAAAAGTGAACAAAAGAATATAACTGGTGTAAGTTATGTATTTCCATTTTTAATTTACTAAAAGTATTTAAAAATATGAAGAGAGATCTCACATGTGGGAATAAGAACATTGACTTATAAATAGGAAGCAAAACTGTGCCACACTTATTAATTCCTTGCATTATTTCATCCCCCAGTCAGTAGATCTGCTGTTGAAGTAAGACACTGGTGTGTGTAAGAGTGGTACAATGTTAGTAAAGGAAACTTCACAGTCTTGCTGAACATAGTTTCTATACACCTGCCTTTCACTAATTTTTTTTTACTACTGTACCAAAACAAACCAAGAACAGTCCATTAATGTCACTGAGTTTTCCTGAAATATTTGACAATGGAAAAAGCATTGGAGGAATGCATCTATTTAGTGAAAACAATCCACAGGAAAAAAATCTCTATTGGACAAGTCTGTTTAGGAAAAAAAGAGTCAAGATTTGTCCTTTTTTAAAGAGACCTTTGTTACTTCCTTTTGTTTTGAGAAAAAAGGCCAGGTGTGGCACTGTTGACATTTCCTTCTCCTCAGATCAGTGCTTTTCAGTCAAACACCCTGAGTGTTGGCATGGAACTGTAAATCTGGAAGAGGAAAATGGAGAGGGGAGTTTTGCAGCATTAACTCTGCACTGTGTATTTCCTTTTAGACATCGTACCATAATGTTTTGTTTATATCATTCTCCTCATTTTAAAATTTGTTACTTGACATTAGAAGGAGATAAATATTCCCTTCAACTAGTGTCCAACAACTAAGCAGTAACAGTGGTATCCAAACAGAGGAACTGTTCCTTTTCCCTCCTGTTTTCTAGGAGAGGAAGGCAATCAGATGGTGTGTGCAGGCAGATATGGCCAAGGGAATGAGTGTGGCAGTGTTGTGCATGAAAGGCCCCAGAACTGATCTGCCAGCTGAAGCAGATCTAGAAGCCCTGTTAGGCATACGAGGGCAGCACGTTCTTGCTGCTTAAGACAACGTCAGTGGGCCTTCCAGGCTCCACCAGTTAAAGTGGAAGAATCCTCTCTCAAAAATGAATAGAAGACAAAAAACCTTTTCTTCTGTTTCATGGAGGAGATTTTTCTGTAAATAAAACTGCAACTTTGTCTTCTTCCCTAATCCTTGTGGAGAATGTGCAAACAAGCCAAGAACTGAAAGGACAATATTTACAATCATGCTCTACGCTATAGCTCCTGTTTTCTGAAGCAGTGCCTCTGACAGTGTGTGAGCAGCCTTCCAAATATTGTGAACATCTCAGCTCTTTCTTCCTTCACAATGTGCTGAGCTCACGAGTGGTCTTTTGTTGATCATTCAAAAGGTGTGTACCTGGGGCCAAAAATAGCCTGACTTGTCAAAATCCTGAATCCTATGTGTGAAATTATTTCCCTTATGGATTTTGACCCAGTTTTGGAGGCACAATATGACAAGTGACCTTTCATGAAATCACCTGTTTCAGCTTCTTCAAGCTTGTACTCATAAGGGAAATGCCTGGCTCCACATGCTTTATAACACCCCAAACCATTATTATGTGTCCAAAAAGGAAAATCTTAGGGCAAGGGAATTGCTGAAGTTTTGTGATACTTGGATAGTTCATGAACTCCTGTGCAGGCAACATTTCTCCACTTCCATAATATTGCAATCAGTATCAACACACAGGACCTAATGATTTTGCTCCCTGATTTAGAAGGTTATCTTGCATTTTGCATTTCCTTAAAAAAAAATCATTCAGTATAGCAGAGGTGTGGATAAAGACCCTCTATGTATATATAACTTTTCAATGGGACCCACTCTAACACGTTCTTCAGATAATGATAAAAATCTAAATGACTCTATTTAGGTGAGACAAATGCATGAGTGTATTATAACAGTCTGTTGGCCTGTGTTGAATTTTTCAAAGCAAACACCTATTCAAATATCTTGTCGTGTACTGGAGCACAAGCCTCCCTTTATCCATTTCATTATATGGGCAAATCCCTAAAAGAAGAAAATGCAGGTACAGCATTTCCTTTGTACTTCAGTGGTACAAGCTGCTACACATTTTGAACTCTCCCTGAGATCAGTGGAGAACAAGGACAACCTCTTCATTTTATGAGCTATTCTGCCCTGGCTAACACAGTATAAACATGGGTGCTGTGTTGTTAAAAATAGAACTTGGTGGTGAGTAGTTCCTCTTAATATTGAAGAAGGAGTTGGACAACTAATTCCTTAGAACCCATATGAAAAAAGCCACCCTGAAATGGTAGAAAATGCAGCATTTCTGTGGACAGGCAGTAGTTAATCTGCCATCACACAGGGTGTTATTTAAAGTCTACAGAGAACAACATTTACTGTCGGATCAAGGGGCAATGAGGAAAGCATTTCTGAAAACCCACTCCCACAAAGTTTTAACTCCTGTATTGGAGTTTGGAACTTTTATTTACTTTTCTTCCCTTCCCAGAAATGTGTCCAGCTGCCTCTGCAACTAGAAGTAATATTAATGTCAATAATTTCCTCTGTATAGAGACATATTTGCATAAATTGATGAGATATTTAATGTTTTTGGTTCCTACTTATTTTAAACTGTATTGCAATATAATGCTTTCTTTCTGCATCATTTTATACATGTCTTTGTGAGATTTCTTCTGTTGAATTTTTATTATTCTGCTATGTAGGCCAGCTCTGCTATTTCTGCTGGATAAGCACTGCTTCAAATAGGAGCATTACTCTGATACCATTAATCATTTGGTTACTGTCTTCTGACCTTTTACAGTATCAACAGAGTATTCTGTAACATGTTGATCACAACTGTAACTAATATTTTAATAACATAATGCTAGCCATAAACACAATGAAACATCAGTATTGCTCAGCTGTGTACCAGAGCTATTCCTGCAATCAGAAAGCAAGATCCAGCTCAGGATTCCTTTCTATAAATTAAATGAAGCTACTTTTTAATATTTAAAAGTACAGTGCTACTTGATCAAGAAATCATCATGTCACAGAAGTACAGTGGAGGAGCTAGATGGCATTTACCATGGCTCTCAACAGTGAATGTGCTTATTTTTATTTATTTCTTAGTTTTTAAGCTAGTATTTCTTGATGCAGTATCTGGGACACTGTATATAATTTTGCAGAAAATTAAACTAAACTGGGCATAGTGCCCAGAAGATGCGTCCATGCCCTTAAAAAATAGCTCAAGAGGTCTAAAAATTAAAGCTAGTAAAACACAAAGGAGGTAAATAATGGTCCATGATGCATTGACCTGAATAGAAAAGGCTTGCATTGAACCCTGAAGACACTGGTAAGACACACTATAACTTTCCTTTGCCTCGGGCAGCAGGTTCTGCGGGTTGGCCAAGGGTTCCCTGGGCACACAGCTCAGAGGGTGGCTCTGGGCACACAGCTCAGGGCTAATGCTGCTCCTGCACAGGGCAGTGGCAAACCAGCACACAACCACAGATGGAGTTAGATGTTGCCATGCTGAGGGTTACAGAGCTTAGAACTTAGTGACTCTGGATCTGCAGGGCTCATCCAGGGCTCATCCAGTGCTTATCTGTGTGCCTAAGAATGGATTTACACTGGGCAGGACACTCGGCAGTGAAACGGGTCCTCAGAAAATACACCAGAGCAGGATGAGCCTGTCAGACACTGCCTGGAGCTCTGCAGTCCGAGTCCACAACAACCATCAGGGCCTGGCTTAACTTAGGAATCCTTTTCTTGCTCTCTCTTTGCCAGCATAAAGCTTTCATCCTGTTTCTGAACTGGCTTCAAAGGAGCAAGGAGTGTTCTGTGCAAGCTTTGCTCCATCTTAATGACTAGGATACCCACAGAAGTTAGAAAAGACATTTCTAATCTCCCCTTCTGTATGAGAAAAGCTTAAATGCCTGCCTATAGGAAAATCACATGACTTTTCAACTTCAGTAACAATTTTGTATGAAAATTGTGAAGACCACTGCGTTGTGTGGTGCTCTGTGCAAATGTATGTGTGAGAATTTACTTCGACAGGCCCTGTTAGTAACCTAGTATGAAGATAACTAGTTTGTGAAAGGTACAGATGTGGGCTGGGTGCTGAGCTGCTCAGCTTGACCAAGGTGGCAATGTTACTGAGCACATGCAATGGCAGAACTCTTCAAGTCTCAACAAGCTTAAATTATGTTCCTCCAAAGCAAAGACAGCTTAAGAACTTACTGTGTTTCTGTGTTTCACTTCTAGCACACTGTCTGAGACAACCTAAAAAGAGCCTTAGGTGTGAAGTCTCACAATGAATCTGCTTCCCTGAATTTGTTGTGAGGGGAGCTGTTTTCTCTAGCAGACATTATGATCAACTTCCTCTAGAACTAAAAAAGAGCTTGGAACATATTGGTGATGTCTTACAGATTTTGCAGGTTCATTCTGGTTTTGTTTGGTTTTCAGGGCTCTTGCTGATGTTATGCGACCTCAAGGTCCTTGTACAACAGATCATATGGAAAGAGATCTAAACATTGTAGTACATGTGCAACACTATGAAAACATGGAGACAAGACCTCCTCCAAATAACTTACGTAAGTTGAATTATAACTTTGTCAATATCTGGAATGCTGGCACTAAAGGGAGCATTATGAAACAAATATTGGTGGATGTCAAATGAGGATCAAGAGTACATTGGTTCTTGCAAAGCAGAAATATTCTTTAACTCACAATTAGAAATATTTAGAATTTCCTAGTGCAAAGAGTACAACAGTGAGAGAAAGAAATTTTGAAGAGGAAAATTAGTTATTCTATTTAGTTTTATCTAGTTGTCTTGTTTGACTAGTAATGATTTTGTACCTTTGTCTCCTTCTACCTGGTGTTTTTGCTCAGCTTACCAATCTTTGCCTTATTCTGTGTTTTGTTGTACTAAAATACAAACTGTTAAGGTTACAGCCAAATTTAACATGTTTCATAGGGCTGTAATATCCAATAAGGAAGTGGGCCCATTAGGCTGTTTCATCATAACCACTAGGAAAATAGGCAGTGGATGGCTTTGTTCTGTGCTGTAGATCAATGTAGATGTGCATTTTGCTGCAAGTACACTTTTACTGCCTTGGTGTTTGGATTTTGAAACATTTAAAAAGCATTTGCACTTGTATACAGAAAGCAGAAAATTTGCTTATATTTGAAGTTTTATTTGGACTGCATTGTGCAGATAATGTGAGATTTTAGTGCCTTTTTTTTTGGAAGGGTGTAAAAACAACAGGAGAAAGTGCAGATGTCTGTGCTGGATGCAGTCCTGGTACCTGGTTTGTGGGAGAGGCTGAGGGGGATTCCTTATGTAACCCCTTACAGAGTAATAGGAGAGAGTTTAAGCTGTGACTCTACTAAAGGCACCCCCTGCAGCGGGGTGTGACACCTCCTCTGCCTGCCCTGCTCCCCAGCCCAGTGCTCCCAGCTGGGTGGGTGCAGAGCTGCACTGCAGAGAGGGCAGGGGGTGCACACACTGCAGCCTTACACCCCTAAGCCTGCAAAGCAGAAACTCCTGCTGCTCTGTCAGACCTGCTCAACCCCCTGGAGTGAGCTGGTTGACTTTGGAACCTTCAAGGAGGATGGGAATAAACACTATATCTCTCTTTGCTCTGTGTATAAGCTCTTTGCTGATGCCTGAGCCTCCTATGGCCATTTTTTCAAGAATGGTACCAAATGGTAACGAAGTTTGGGTCCTTTATTTTTTCTCATGTGTGAAATGTTTATTCAGAATCCCAGTTAATGAAGGAGCCAGAAAGTAAAGAGGTCCTTACTGCATTGATTGTATCTAGATTTTTGTACTGATCACACTGAGATATTTTGCTTAAAACTCTTTGTATACTACAATATACGACATAACACAGCAGGCACTTAAACTCATTGTTTCTTGGATTTGAATTCAGATTTAAGCCTTGCTTCTATGAACTCTTGCATAAAAATGCAACTCAGAGCCACATAGTTACTGCATCAAGGAAGAAAAGAAGATACATTTAATAGGATGTTGGTTTGTGATGATCCCAGCCACCCATACAGCTCTGTCTCAGAATATGGCCCTCTGGCACAGAGGGAAGAATTCTGTGTGAAACAGCTCTTGCACCACTGCAGTTTCCATCAAAGAGGCCCTGCTGCTGCTTTGGAGCTCTCTTAATCCATTGGGCAGTGGAAAGGGCAGTCCAAGACTGCTTCACAGGCAACTCAGGCATTGCTGCTGCAGAGGGAACCCTCAGCAGCCAGCAGCTATGATGGTAACTGCTTCACTCTTTAATCAACTTTATGCATGAAGTCAATAATTTTAGATTGTTCAGTGCAAACCTTCAAGTGGTGAAATTACTCAAGGCATTCTATAACCAATATTGCATACATTTACTTCAGAGCAAGTGGATCATTGTTCTATATTTGTTGCCATTTTATTCTCATAAACTCATGTAAAACATGCCTAAATGACCGACTAGAATTTGCCAGAACATCACAGATGATTGAGGTCTGTTGAAAGCATGTGCATTTATGGTGCAGGAAAAATCTTTATAAAGACAAATGATTAGGACAAATTTTCTAAGCCAGTATTTTAGCAAATTGGTATTTTATAGTGGAGTTCTGAAACACTGCAAGAGTGGATATTGCTGGTAGAAACTTTGGCAGTGAAGCATTACTTACTACCAGTGCTGGAAAAGTAACAGACTTTTCTGGGGCATTTTTACAAGCAAATAAACCAGAGTGAATTACAGCTTTCACAGAAATTCTATTCCAGATCTTTTCTTATACAGAGAAAATGAAATTGTATCAAATTATTGTATCATAAACTTTAATATGTATTTTCAAAGTTGTCCAAGTTATCACTTTCTATCTACTTTCCATCTCAATATTTGAGGCTGGTGTACTTTTCACATGAAGAGGGCAGGAGGAATTTCTTAGGCATTGTGTACCCCTTCCATTTGTGTCTTTCAGAATACTGAAGACAAACCACTGAAGGCCAAACATTATTAAAAATGTTCTAGTTTGAATGTTCATTTGCTCTTTCTGTCCCCTTGAAAATATTTTGCTGATGTTGCCAACCCATTCTGAAAGTGTTTTATGAAGGGAAGCTCTTTTGTCAAAATGACAACCTAAACATGATCTCTGACACTGAAAATGAGTGTGTTTCTGTTTCTGGACTGTTTGTTACCAGAGGACAAAATTTCCTGTGCTGTCTGCAGTTAGCACAGCTATTTGCCAAAACCCTCAGGCCAGTGGAATCCGAAAGATCTCTTTTCAGCAACTTGCAGTTTACTCAGTTCCTTGTCCCTTCTCTTCTGATCCCAGAAAAGAACAGACATATTGGAGGTTGTGGGAAAACACAGGGTTTTTTTCTTTGCCCATACTAATCCAGATGATTTTTAGTAAAAACTATTTTTTTCTCAGTGGTTGTTGGTTGTCATAATTTTCTTCCAGTAGTGCTTTCCTTAGGATTACTTTTCTGTTATTTCCCTTCATTCATACACGTTAGAATGGAGTGGTGCTTTGTAAACAAGCATTCAAGTCTTCTAACAGGAGATGTTAAATAAAATAAAATGGAAAAAAAGGGGGACATTTAAAAGTTATATTAAAAACATAAACCCAAACCCAAATCTTTCTGCTGAATATGAGTTGTTGTGTTCATCTCTGACTTTCATGAATCTTAAGAAAGCAGCAGCATTCAAAGTGTTCTTGTCTTCTTGTTTTATTTTTTTTTCTCCTTTTCTACTTATTGTGTTAGAAGTAAGGGATTTATTTAACTTGTTGGGATTACAAGACTGCTGTAGTGGGAGTTAGAAGGCTTTGTAGCTTCAGCCTCATTTCTGAAACGTGATTACTGCTATTATTTCTGATTCATGATCTCTGATAGCACAAAGAAAAAATACTGAAGTTAGTGCAATCCACAGGCACTTTTCCTAATGATCAGTAAAAGCTCTGTTACTCTTTCCCAATAACTAGCCTTGCACTAGTGAATTTAAACAATTTAGGCAGGCTCCCAAGATAAAGGTGACTTTAAAGGGAAGCCAATTACAGATTAAGGAGGTTTTAAGATGAAAAATGCTAGCTTTACTTAGTTTGACATGTATGAATTATTCGTTTATTTTGAATTTAACTTGAAAAAAAGTGGATTTTAACTCACCATTCGAAGAAGGAAGTGTTGCATTGTGTCAAATGGTGAGTTTTAATACTGGCCAAAGATATGCAGCCCATGTGATTAAAATGACTTTTCTTTTTTTTTAAATAAATGCAGCAATGTGTTTGCTGCTGCATTTGATTGTCAGTTGTCCTGGATACAGACTCACAACAAATGCTAATGCTGAAAACAAAGCCAAGACATTTCTGTAACTGGTGCCTTATGATAAGTTAACTTTGGTTTTTTCTTTATTCCTGTGTTGAGACAGCAGGCATTTAAATAGGAGGGTATTTTTTGAAGTTCTTGTATATTAGAATAAGCATTCTGTATTGCACATTCCTGTGCTTTCCCCCATTTCTGTAAGCAGAAGCTCAGGCTGTGTTTTCCAGTGAGAGGAACTGTCACTAATTTCACACTGTGAAAACAGTTAGAATTTGCAAGAATGTTTTGTGGTCTCTTTCACTCCCTAGTGAATACGCTTTTTTTTATGGTTGTCTTTGGCAAACTAATTACTTTTATGATTAACATACCTAAACATGCTTACACGAGATGATTCACTGTATTGTGTTGCCTAAATGCCCTTCCTACTGTTGCTCATTGGAAATAAGTGTAGAGGCTTATTGAGAAACTCCAGCACAGAGAAGTGCTGTTGTTCCAAATGCAAAGTTCTTGAAGTGTATCAAACCTGATAACTAACTTGCTTACACAGTAACTGTTGGGCAATTAATTGCATGATACTGAGGTGGTTGAGAACATGAAGGCACAAAGTGCCTCTGGTGACAGGGGCCTTGAAACTTCACCCCAACCCTTCGGACACGGGGCTGCAAAATCCAAAGGACTGAGCAAATAGCTGTGTTTGGCCTGGTTGGAATCTAGGTTGTTTGGCTACAGCACAAATGCTTTTTTTTTGGGCTATATGCATGGGTCTAGCCCAGAGGAATTGCACTGTTTTCTTCACAAACTTTAATTGGCTGTTTGTCTGCTCACTCAGAAGGACAAAATAGGGACAGAGGAGTTGAGCTGCACAGACAGGGCTCCAGCTGTGTTTTACGGGTGGAAAGATGGACAACACTAATAAGTTTTCAGCCAAGAAAAAGATAGTTTTAGCAGAATGACAGAAGGAGTGAAGAAGTGCTGCTGATGGAGTGCTCCAAGACAGTGAAGGATGAGGGAGAATAAAATGTCCAACTTAACTGAGGACGTCCTTAGTTCACAAGAAGCTGCTGTGTTATAACAGAGGGCAGGGACTGTTGTCAGAAACTATTGGGAACTTGCTTACATTTAAAGCCCGAGTCTCAGTGTGCAAACCTCACTTTACTGGGGTTTCTGAGATCTATACAGGAGGCACCTTAACACTATTAAAAAAAAAAATCTGATAATTTAGACTAAATACCTGAACTAAACACAGGCTTAGGGAGAGCTACTTATGGCATTTAG